ATTATCTGTCTATAAATCAAACAACGTTGGATTCGGTACTATCTGTCTATAAACCAAACAGGGTAGGATTCGGTATTATCTGTCTATAAATCAAACAACGTAGGATTCGGTACTAATTTTATTTAGGTGAAACAACTTTAAGATGAGCCAGTTAGGATTCAGGACTAATTATCCTTAAATCCTAAGTTTAGATCTTCTTATCGAAGTGGAAGGCGTCAGACCGATGTAGACCAGTTTTTATTTCTGAGAAACGAAAAGGATCACATTTCCTGAAAACGAAAGTCTGCAGTTGTTTTGACACTAAGAAAACAGCTTTCAAAGAAAACCTACTCAACATGTTACATCTGGTATTATACAAGAAAGGTGGGGTCTCTACGACGTGCTTAAGGCTTTATAACGCTAGAATTAAGGATTCGATTCCGTTAGTGGAGAAAGCCTATACTGCAGCTTTGTTTTAACAAAAAAAAAAACAAACAAAAAAATAGACATGTGTAATTACAAGACTGTTTTGAAACTGTTGACTGGCCTATTTTTCTCAGTATTATTTTGAACCAAACCCCACTGTTTTGAAACTGTTGACTGGCCTATTTTTCTCAGTATTATTTTGAACCAAACCCCATAATACTGGTTTATTTCCATCATTAGCAAAATGAAGTATATGTAGAATTTAATACATCTGAATATGATGAGATCATTACTGATATGTGCATACAACACCTGAGAAACTTTGAAATGTACAGACTTTCTGAAACGTACAATTGTACTATTTTGTTTCCTATGACTGTACGGCTTGGTGGTTATGTACAAAGGTCAGGGGCTGTGTGAAGTATTTAAAAGTGTTAACGAGATTTATGGCCAATAAAACCTTTATAATGTCTTTAATTGTCTTTAAATCAAACAATGAATAATTCGGTGTTAATTGTCTTTAAATCAAACAATGAAGAATTCGGTATTAATTGTCTTTAAATCAAATAATGAATAATTCGGTATTGATTGTCTTTAAATCAAACAATGAAGAATTCGGTATTAATTGTCTTTAAATCAAACAATGAAGAATTCGGTATTAATTGTCTTTAAATCAAACATTGTAGGATTCGGTACTAATTGTCTTTAAATCAAACAATGAATAATTCGGTATTGATTGTCTTTAAATGAAACATTGTAGGATTCGGTACTAATTGTCTTTAAATCAAAAATATAGGATTCGAAAATAGCAAATAATCGCTAGCGGTGGTTGGATGTAACAATGCTGGCAGGTTAAAGAGTTTAAAAGATATTTTTATCATCGTCAGTGGTGGTTGGATGTAACAATGCTGGCAGGTTAACGAGTTTGGAAGATATTGTTAGCATCGCTAGCGGTGGTTGGATGTAACAATGCTGGCAGTTAACGAGTTTGGAAGATATTGTTAGTACCGTTAGTGGTGATTCGATGTAACATTGCTGGTCAGTTTAAGGAGTTTAGGAGATACTGTTAGCATCGCTAGCAGTGGTTGGATGTAACAATGCTGGTCAGTTTAACGAGTTTGAAAGATATTGTTAACATCGTCCGTGGTGGTTAGATGTAACAATGCTGGCAGGTTAACGAGTTTGGAAGATATTGTTAACATCGTCAGTGGTGGTTGGATGTAACAATGTTGGCAGGTTAACGAGTTTGGAAGATATTGTTAACATCGTCAGTGGTGGTTGGATGTAACAATGCTGGCAGGTTAACGAGTTTGGAAGATATTGTTAACATCGTCAGTGGTGGTTGGATGTAACAATGCTGGAAAGAATTACTCAAACTTTACTATTATCTTATTGTCTAAACTTCCCGATATAAAATGAAATAATTTCTATTTAAAATCAATAGACCTAACGTTTCGGACACAAATCATGTTTCTTTTTCCTCGCATTTCTTTTAAAATGACCATTTCTAATTCAAAATGGGAGGAGTTTAAGATCTATCATTTGGAAGCTCTCTCTTGGACGAATTAGTGAAAGTTCGAAATTCAATTTTTCCTCACGGCTTACGTGATTTAATAAAAGGTTTTAGGTTTAACAATTTCTCTTTAATATATATAGGTTTGGGTTATTTTTTTTTGGCAAAACTGCACATTTAAAAAACAATAACTTTGCATTTTGTTTTGTTATATATATATCTTAGAAACTTTGAAATATTGAACACTGTTTTTTCTAAAAGTCTGTTTCCAGGCGAACAATACTTGGAAAGATAATCTAACGGAATAAATAAGTTATTTATCAAACAGCAAGGCTTAAATAGCAAAACAGATCTAATCCTACTATACTTTAAATTCTTTGACTTCCTGATGTTTCTTTCACTAACCAAAGGATAAAACGTTTTCTTTGCTTTCCGTTTATGTTCACAGCTTTGAAGCCAAAAAAATTCCCCGGACTGAGGACTTAAAATCATTACACAATGTCCATCACCAAGAGGAAGCTCCCCGCTTGTCCTTTCTAGATAAGGTTCTGCAAGGTTATGATAAGCGAGTGTGGCCTACTTACGGAACAGGTGAGTCCCTAATCAAGTTAAAAACTTCCCTAAGGTATTAGATAACTATTACAAACGCTTTCCAGCACTTTTATGGTAGATTATTATCTATTTTTATATTTAACATGCGATTTTTTTGTTTTAAAAAAGCTAATAAGGCGATTATAAGGAAGTTAAACTTTGTACTGAAGTTTCATTTCCAATTCAGCGAGAACATTAGCGATTATAAGGAAGTTAAACTTTGTACTGAAGTTTCATTTCCAATTCAGCGAGAACATTAGCGATTATAAGGAAGTTAAACTTTGTACTGAAGTTTTATTTCCAATTCAGCGAGAATTTTTCTCGATATTTCTCGGGTAAGTTGATATCTCATGTTACATTCCAATTAACATTAGGCTGAAATATATGAATTTCTCTAAGATAGTATCAACTGTTCAAGAAATAACTCAATATCGCTACGTGGAAGTTTAAGAAGAGCCACTCTGTACTTGTATGATATCAGTTGAAGAGTCAGTCTGTACTTGTATGATATCAGTTGAAGAGTCGGTCTGTACTTGTTTTGATATCAGGTGATGAGTCAGTGTGTACTTGTTTTGATATCAGGTGATGAGTCAGTGTACTTTTTTGATATCAGGTGATGAGTCAGTGTGTACTTGTATGATATCAGTTGAAGAGTCAGTCTGTACTTGTATGATATCAGTTGAAGAGTCAGTCTGTACTTGTATGATATCAGTTGAAGA